CCCTCAACTCTCAACCCGAAACCCTCAACCCTAAACCCTCAACCCTAGTGTCCGCACTCTCATGGCTCTCTTGAAGGGGGTGGCTTGTTTCACAAGAGGCCGGAAAACAGAATGTTTGGGCTTGCTGTCAATTGAATTCTAGTCTAAACTCCTTACAGGGGATTATATAGGGGAGTGTTATTATGGGGGTTATTAGGGGGGGATGCTAGGAGTTTAGACTATAGCCCACTTAGGGTTTAGCGTATAGGTTTTTTAGGATCCTCCAGTCTTCCGGGTGCCCGTTCCACGGCCCGTTTAGGGTTTCGGGTTTAGGGTCAGCGCCATGGCGCATATGTCTGAGCTGACAGCCGTCTGCGCTATCCGTGTCCTGTCGGCTTTGACAGGACTGCCATGTTCTTGACCACTTCTTGGTTGTTCTGCCCCTAGCTCCAGAAAAGTAGACATGTACGAGTAGGAAGTATCAAATAGGTGTTTATCCTTATCAACGACCTCTATCATCTACTAAAAACCCCTACATATTCGTAGGGCCCCTCAGGGCCTACTGTTTGGAGAACTCCCCAAGCGCACCCCACACCTTCAACCCAGAACCCTAAACCGTGAATGACACCATTGACTTTAAACTCTAAACACTAAAGCCCATGTAAACTTACCATTACTTGGGGTCCCCAAACTTCTCTAATTTTGACATTTCAAAATTTCAAGGTCAAAATGACACCCCCCAAACCCAAGTACTGGTAAAAAACCTTAAGCCCCAAAAGTGCCACTCTCGAAGCCACGGCGCTCCCGAGATCTAACCTGCGTGTCTAATGATAACAGAATTTAAGAACATGGAAAATGGAATGGAAACTTGGTTCATATAGGGGGTATGTGGGGTTTACAGGCATTGCGTGGATAGTGGTAACCCCAACCCGCCAAAAGTAGAACCCTGTTACTGTTATATTCAGTTAGTCATTCGGGCCTAATTTGGAGGTTGGGGTTACCCAAAGCCCACCCCAAACTCCAAGCACTAAACCCTAAACCCCAAAACGCCCTTTCTAACTGAAGGTCACGTCTGGCAGACTTCCCCCCATGACGTTCTTGCTTGTACTGTAGGTGCAGGGGCCCGAAGACATGTAAAAATCATGATCCTAGATTCCTCATACAATTATGGGTTTAGGGTTCAGGGTTTCAGGTTTTCTGCTGTAATTATGGTAGAGGGTGCCCCATACAGACCTCAACATAATATTGATAAGTGTTGAAGGCTCTACAGTATCTATCCTGGTGCTGCCCCCTTGCTGCTCCCTTGCTGCCGTCGTGCCGTCCTGGCTTGCCCAGTCAGGAATATGCCTTAGTTCATATCAGGTATCCTTACATGACTTAAGGTGCTCTTTTTATTACAGAGTCTTAGGTTGTCCACGTGCCCTTTTGGCAAGCCTCCCACTTGCAGTGGGGAACAACTACAGAAAGATCGTGGAACAAACGCAGTCCGCAGGTCGGGACGTTGTGGAAAAGCTGCAGTGAATCGGGATTGTATGTTTCGCTTTCTAGTTGTGGTCAGCTGTTTTGCGTTTTGGGTGCTGTCTGCATGTCTGTGTTTTTCTTTGAGCACTTTCGAGTTTGGCTCCTTGAGCATTTAGAGCTTTTGGATGTGTTTGTAGAAAGTCTATGTTTTTGAAGCTCCTTCGTCATGGCCCTTGAATGTTTTGAAGCCCAGTGCTTGCAGGAAATTGTGTGTTCTACGCACTTGATTCCCTCTCATCACTTCTCGTGTTTCCTGGCTGTTGTGTTGGGGTGTATGTATCCAAGTATATATGACCAGTACTATTGCAATGAACACAAATTGCGTTGTGGATCTCGTACCACATCATGGCTTCACATTGCTTTTTCTGGGGGTCTCATGCCATGCAAGATTCCTTTCATATACCAAAATGAGAGGAGAGCTGATCATTGAGACGCGTGTGGATGAACGCGATCTCATCTCTACACCCAACTTCCGCGACGACTTGCGCAGGTTGGACTGGGCAAAGGGTTTGCGGTGTATGACCCAAGGGTCATGCGGGATTGGAGTTCCGCTTATCCACGTGGGATCCTCATTTCAGAGGTACTTCTGGAACGCATGTGTGGTCTCCCTATATCTCCAGGACTTCTAGGACTAACTAATTTTCAACATGCTTATGTAAATCGGGGCTGAATGTTAACATTGGGGTCATGAAGCAGAGTTTGTCATTATGATTTTTACTGCTGCTGCTACAACAACAACAACAACAACAACAACAACGCTCCGTCGCCGCGNNAGCGCACGCATTGCAGCAGAGGCCGAAAATCATGGTATACGTGGCACTTCGGGTATGCGCACACGCCTGCAAACCAGGCATACTACTACTACTACTACTACTACTACTACTACTACTACTACTACTATCACCACCACCACCACCACCACCACCACCACCACGACTACTACTATTATTACTACTACTAATACTAATACTAATACTAATACTAATACTACTACTACTACTACTACTACGACGACGACGACG